GCTCGAGCCCCCTGAAATGTTTAAAAAGCCCCCTGAAGCAAAGAAAATTATTTTAATGGTTCTTTAACCCCTTGAGCTAAAAATAAATATTTTTAATTGCCCTCTGAGAGAATTTCTTTTATAATTCTATTGAGTAATATATAGATTTAATTTTATTAAAAAATTAATAAGACTATCTAAATTTTTATTAAATGAATACTATTTTAAATATTAGATTAGATCATTACATATAATTTATACTATGTCAGTCAAATTCTATGTTAAAAATATAACAATATCACTCACTAAATATTAATTTAGTATTAACAGTTGAAGCTTAATTGACTTTTATTATTTAAATTTTTATATAACCCTAATTAAATAAATATAATCATTTATTAATTGATATATAATTTAATATTTTAGCCGAGGTAAAAATCTCTAATCAACTATATTATTGATTTTTAAATTTAATTATCATGTCTCTTGCTATAATTATTTTCAAGGTCCAAATCCAAATAAGTATAAGAGATATTTATAAAATGTAAGTAGACATATAGTTTATAATCCTCTATTATATATAATTTATTATAAAATATTAGGTATAATGCCACTTTTACAGACGTATCTCACAGTTATATAATATATTACAATTAATATTTTTAAAATTTTACTAATAAATGCTTTTGATAATAAATATAAGTAACAATTTGCTTACAAATATTTAACGCCATCTATATTTGCAATATAATTAAAATCAAGCGTATTATTATTCATCCCTTAATAGATATAATATAATAAATTAGATATCTTTTCTTCTCTTTTTTACGTATTTTTAGGAAGCTATTTTTTTCTTCTTCGGAATATAGATTTGAGTTAAATTTTTAATACGAATATATTTTTAATATTATTACAAACTACTATTATTAAGATATAATATACCAACTAGAGATGGTACGATAATAATATATAAAATCTTAATTTCTTTCATGATATCACTCTGGTTCTTATTTTTAGTTACAAAATGTTTCATTTCTAATATGGCATTTTTGCCGATGTAATTTAAGATTATTACTACAGCTGCTGAGAGCATATGATTGTATATTTTAGATAAGCAATGGTCCAATGTGTAGTTGTTTATATATCATGAAAAATAGATGATAATCTTTTAGAAATTTAATAATATACAATAATTTTCTCGATTACTTATCTAGCTTCCATCATGTCATCTAAGAGGAAGCTCTAACCACCATATAGTTTTATGATTTGGATTGGTCGTTTATATTTTCTTCTTCAAGAATTGTTGATTTGGTAAGGTCTATAAATTTTTTCTTATTAGTCCATTTTATAAAACATTGTCTAAAATGGTAAGAAAGAATTATATTAGTTTCATGACCTTTTGTCAATGTAAGTTGCTAATATTATATTATATTATGTAGTTATCAAAAACCATAATCAATTGAGGCATATATATGAATTAATTAACATTTATTATCATTTATAATACTTTAGGTGCAAAATTTTTTTATATCAACTATTTTATACGAATAAATAGATAAAAAATATTATTTTTAGAAATGTCTTGTAATGTTAGTTTATTTTGCATGCAAAATATAATAAATGACAATCAGAATTATTATTTAGAGTTAGTAAATTTAAAAAAAGTATAATATATTAATATAAAGGCTTGCAAATTAATAAAAATTTTTTAGTTGAACCCCCTAAAATTGTAAAGGCTAGCGACGCCCTTGGCGCAGTGTCAATTTTGCACTCCATATCTCCATGTGTCCTTAAATCATATAGAAACTGAACACTGCTACATATATCTTCGCGTAATCAAGTTCAAATATAATATTCATCATAAATTTTTTTTTTAATTGTAAATAATTTTATATTTAATTTATTTTTAAATAAAATCTTTAAAAAATATATAATGAATTCAAATCTATTATATTTTAAAATATAAAGATAAAAAATTTCTTTATATATTTTTAAATAAAATAAAATATTATTTTTTAAAAAAATGAATAAGTAAATTCTTAGAGAATGAAAAAGGCTTGGCTAAAGGGGGAGGGAGGGGATTCTCATCAAAAATTCATATATTTTCTTAAAAGACATTTTAAACTAATAAAATATTAATATCGACACAAGCACCTCTCCCTAAACATGTTTACAACCAACAATCTTTAAACGAAAAATAAGTAAAATTTAATAATTATTTTTAAAAAAATGATATTTTTTTTTACTTTGAAAAGAATGTTAACAAGTTTTATTTTTTGTATAATTTTGCAGCTAATCAAGCCTAATTTATCCTCTTATATCCAAGAATTAGATAAATTTTTTTTAATAATTCGTCCAAAATCAATGATCTAAACAACATTGAATTGGAGGTATTAAATTATTTTTTAACATATATTTTGTTTCTTTCTTCTTTTTGATTCAAATATCCAAAAAATTAACTTTATTTTTTATACATTAAACTATAAATTACTTCTATTTTTATCAATAATACAAATTATATAAATCAGACTTTATCTTCTTATAAAAATTTGAACTCCCAATTATAAAACAAAAAATACCAGGGATGTGAATTGGAATAGGACCTTTATGTTGGATCCAAGGGTTATGGTTGTCAAAAATTTTTTTTAAATAATATTAATATAAAAAAATTTTAAAAAATCATATAAATTTTTTTTCATTTTATTAAATTATTTTCTTGGAATTATTTTTTTCACATTTTTCTTTCAATTTCCTTCATATTCTTCTACTTTATTTAGAGAGTAAAATATCATAAATTATTTAGTGTAGAAAATATTTTAATATGTAAATATTTATTAATATGCTATATAATATATATTGATTATTTTGAAAGTGAATTATTTTGGTAATAATATTTTAATTTAATTGATAATTTATTAATGTGTAATAGAATTTGATTATTTTGAATTGAAAGTAAAACATTGAGAATTATTTTGTGTGCAAGTAATAATATTTTAATTTTAAAGGATAATTTCTTAATATGCCATATAATAGAAATATTTTATTCTTGTATTATAACAATTTTAATAAGTGATTATTTTGTAATAATATATTTTATTATAAACAATATTAAGATTATGATATTTTTCGCAGTAAATTTAAATTAATCAAAATTGGCAATGTTTTGCAAATATATATTTATTATAAGTTATTAAATATATTTTAATTATCAAATCAAAAATTAGTTATTTTATTTTTACACGGTCTCCCATTCAAAAAAGAAAATTTTTCAATCAAAAAACGAAAAGTTACAATCATAAAAGGAAAAGGTCCTATCAAAAAAGGTTCAATCATAAAAGGAAAAGTTTCAATCTAAGAAGGAAAATTCCCAAAAGGAAAGGATAAGTGTCAATCAAGAAGATTCCAATTCGAAAAAGTAAAAATGGTTATTTTTTCTTAAATTTTTATTTATTTTTATTATTCCTTTTTATTTTATTTATAACTGTTAAATACGGATTTAAATATATTTTATTTATACTAGGTGTTGTGTAGCATAAATTGTTGTTTGTTTCATTCATTCATGTTCGATATTAACATAAATGATTTCCGTGCCTATGATCGTATGGACACTTCATCGTAAAGTTTCGTCCAATTCTGTGATTGGTTCATTAAAGTGCGGGAAAAGTATTTTTATTTATAATTAAAATTCTTCTTGAGAAAAGAATTAATCCCAATATAATTCGGTATCGTCCCTCTAATTCGTATGAAAATTTAGGAAATAGGTTTTTTGTCGTATTGCAATAGTTCGTTCCCAAAAAAAAGCCAATTTGCAATAGTTCGTTCCCAAAGTAGTTTGTTCCCAAAATAATTATGAAAATCCAAGAGATTAAAGCTAAATCGCAACAATTATCAATAAGAAAATTGTAAAGTATATATTATTTAATTTGCATATAATAATTAATTTTTTTAGAAAACTAGGCAAAACAAAGAGTGCATATAAACAAAGCTATTATTCAAATTCTAATAATCAAATGGTTCAATATAGTTTGATTAAATCAAAATACAACAATAATATTATCTATTCTAACAAAATTTTAATTCAATTTATACATTATCATGCAAAAAAAAGAGATTGCATTTTTATATATTAATTAAAATTTTTATTATGAGATATTTCATATAAATTTTAATAATGTTATATCAAAGATATATTTATAATAAAGAGTTTGCTAAAATATTGTAAATTATCTGCTATTTATATCATTTTTAAACAAAGCTATTATTCAAATTCTAATAATCAAATGGTTCAATATAGTTTGATCAAATCAAAATACAACAATAATATTATCTATTCTAACAAAAATTTAATTCAATTTATACATTATCATGCAAAAAAAAGAAATTGCATTTTTATATATTAACTAAAAATTTTATTATGAGATATTTCATATAAATTTTAATAATGTTATATCAAAGATATATTTATAATAAAGAGTTTGCTAAAATATTGTAAATTATCTGCTATTTATATCATTTTTAAACAAAGCTATTATACAAATTCTAATAATCAAATGGTTCAATATAGTTTGATCAAATCAAAATACAACAATAATATTATCTATTCTAACAAAAATTTAATTCAATTTATACATTATCATGCAAAAAAAAGAGATTGCATTTTTATATATTAATTAAAAATTTTATTATGAGATATTTCATATAAATTTTAATGATGTTATATCAAAGATATATTTATAATACAATTGTGCTGTCTATTATATATTAATGGATCTAGAGCATTAAGAGTTTGCTAAAATATTGTAAATTATCTGCTATTTATTTTTTAATATATACTGTTCTTGTATTAATATAAATATTAATTACCATTTAGCCATTTAAATTTAATTTAAAATAAAAAGCATTTTTTAATTTATTTGCCAAATCTGTTACAACGTTTCAAAATTATACAATTTTATATCGCTTCAAATATATTTGTGGCCATTTTAGGTCATTTGACGTTTTTTCACAAATGTTCATACGATCTAGTGGACCCTAACCTATAATTCAATGTTAACAATTTAGATATAATCAATTTGGTAATGTAATTTTAGAAAACAAAATTACTAATAAAAAATCCAAAAGAGGACATGATATTCTATGTTTTAATGATTTGGAATATACATTGCATAGAGTAATTAATTCCAAATCATATTACCGATGTAGAAGAAGAAGTTGTTCTGGACGGGGTATTTTTCAATCAGTAAGTTCACAGAAACTCAGGATCATACCTTAGAACAATGTAAATCCCCTATTGGTAAGTTTTTTTATAGATAATTCACTATAACACCTATTATTTAGTCAATAACCTTCTACTTATGTCTGATAGTCAACCAATAACTCAATTCCAATTATCTCAACAAATTATACAACCTTCATTATCAAGTTTCATAAAATATTAGATTTTTAAAATCAATATAGTTTTAGACTATCAGCTTACTCAATCTCAAATTCTAGCAATGCCCAACATGCAGTCTGCTAATACCATATCAAGTTTCACAAAATAAAATTTTTATAATCAATTTTTTTTAGGCAATATGTTTACTCAGTCTCAGTTCTTTGTTACAAACTCTCAACCAACTTTAACTAGTATCATCAATTATTATCTTTTTATATTCATTACTTTTAGTTAATATATTTGCTCAATCTCAACCCCTAGTAACACCTAACATGCAACCTCTTAATGCCATATCAAGTTTAACAAGTTATCAAATTTTATAATCATTTAATTATTAGGCATTATATTACCTCATAGGAATGACTCTAAAAAAAACAAATTCCAAATATATCCTAAAAGAAAGAAATTTGGAAAAGCTGACTACACAATATAATAATCATATTATTAATAAATTGGAGTTTGCTGATAAATCATCAGCTTATATTAAATTAGTATACAATTCAAATGTATTTGATAATATTTAATTTATATTTGTTTTATACATGTTGAATAATTTATATTTATTTTAATCATGTTTCTTTGTTTTATACATTTTAAATAATAAATATTTGTCTTATACATTATAAATAATAAATATTTGTCTTATACATTATAAATAATAAATATTTGTCTTATACATGCTAAATAAATATTAGTTGTTTATATTTTTGTATTTGATTTATACATTTGAAATAATTAACATATGTCATATACATTATAAATTTGAATAATAAAATAAGCTTCTTAATTTGCTGTAAAAATTGTATCCTAGGTTGTTCTTTTGATATTGTGTAAGAGCTAAGATAAATTTTTACCATTTGAAACCTGCTAAATATTCTATATTTGAATAATATATATTAAATTTTACCATTTTAAACCTATTAATCTTCTTAATTTGCTGTAGAAATTATATCCTAGGTTTTTCTTTTGATATTGTGTAAGAGCTAAGATAAAAAGATAAATTTTTTCCATTTGAAACCTGCTAAATATTCTATATTTGAATAATAATATATATTAAATTTTACCATTTTAAACCTATTAATCTTCTTAATTTGCTGTAGAAATTATATCCTAGGTTGTTCTTTTGATATTGTGTAAGAAAGAGCTAAGATAAAAAGATTAATTTTTGCCATTTGAAACATGCTAAATATTCTATATTTGAATAATAATATATATTAAATTTTACCATTTTAAACTTATTAATCTTCTTAATTTGCTGTAGAAATTATATCCTAGGTTTTTCTTTTGATATTGTGTAAGAGCTAAGATAAATTTTTACCATTTGAAACCTGCTAAATATTCTATATTTTAATAATAATATATATTAAATTTTACCATTTTAAACCTATTAATCTTCTTAATTTGCTGTAGAAATTATATCCTAGGTTTTTCTTTTGATATTGTGTAAGAGCTAAGATAAATTTTTACCATTTGAAACCTGCTAAATATTCTATATTTGAATAATAATATATATTAAATTTTACCATTTTAAACCTATTAATCTTCTTAATTTACTGTAGAAATTATATCCAGGTTTTTCTTTTGATATTGTGTAAGAGCTAAGATAAATTTTTACCATTTGAAACCTGCTAAATATTCTATATTTGAATAATATATATTAAATTTTACCATTCCAAAAGAATTATTAACATTTAACGTAAGATTATGGTAAAAATTTAATTTTTACCATTTCAAACCTATTAATCTCCATTTTGAACGAATTGGACGAGTTGGACGAAAAATACGATGAAGTGTCTTACGATCAAAGGCACCCCTACCAACTCAATACAAACATATTTTATATTATATTAACTTAATTTATACCTCACGGACCTATTATATTATTTCTTTCACTTGACATAATATTAATAGTGAAGAAGAGAGCTTGGAACTAATAAAAAATTGTTCTAAAATGTTCACTTTATTACTTTTTTTTATTGTTTATATAATTAAAAGGTTAAGTAAAACAAAAAGTAAAACTAAAATAAAAATAAAAATTAAGTTGATTTTTCTGACATACATATTCATCATTCCTTCGCTATTTTTGCACATCAATCAACAGACCTCTCACAGGTGCTTTTGCTTTATTATTGGCAGCTTTTTTTTTATTTTTTATACCTATGGCCATTCCCCACGAACGCAGAATCTGCCCATCCTGCATGAAACCAATACATTTAACAAATGATGGAGAATTTTTTGTTCATGGACCAATCTCTAACAGGTGTCCGCATTCAAAACACACGCCTCTTTCTCAGATCACTTACTCGCTTCCCCCCCCTCTCATAGATTCTCCCTTAAACCAAGTAATTGGTGCCTCATTCTCAGATATTTTTCTTAACTCCACAAAACCAAGTATCATAACGAGAATACCCAAAGGAGCGAGAATACAAGTAGCTAAATCTCTCAGCAACTGCATATCTTCTCTTTTGCAAAATTTTAACAAAGAAGAAGAATGGTTAAAATTTTTAAACTTTGGGTACAATACTTTTAAAATACCTGACATATCACTCCAAAAATCATTAACTCAACAAATAAAAGATGCCTGTTTAAACATCAACACTCATCTTCATGAGTCCCAAATCTTCAGACATCCCATAAACAAAAAAAAATAACCCCACTTCAACAAAAAGCCTCATTGATTTCGAAGAAAATTGACAGTCTTAATATCAATGGGGCCCTCAAACTCATTTCAACCAATGACACTCTGGCGGAATCCAATTTAGAAACCTTAATTAAGCTTCGATCAAAGCATCCCACAACAACATTTATGCCAATATTGCCCCAACCCTTCTCCCATTGTGCAGCAGATTTCACACAGGAAGAAGTAAGGAAAGCAATCCTATCTTTTCATCGGGATTCGGCTCATGGTCTAGATGGGATTAGACCAATTTTTTTACAGGACATTACCTCTCCTGTGATCTGTACACAGGTTTCAATTCTCACTAAAATCACAAACTTAGTCAACAAAATCCTAAATGGAGACGTACCCAGCTTTATTACCCCCTTACTATTCGGTGCCAGACTCATCGCACTCCAAAAACCAAACAAGGACATTCGGCCCATCGCCATTGGTTCAACTTACCGTAGATTGGTCGCTAAATTAATCGCATCTAGAATCAAACACGATGCCGCACACATTCTAAGCCCCTATCAACTTGGTGTAGGGATACCTGGTGGGTGTGAAGCTGCTGTGCACTTAACAAGAATTCACCTTGAAAATAACCCAAAAAACGAATCCCTAGTAAAAATTGACTTCTCTAACGCCTACAACACTCTTTCGCGCAACACGTTCCTACATTCAACTTGCTTCCATTTCCCAGCTTATACCAAATTTCTTTTCTCTTGCTACCAATCACCAACAATCTTACAATTCAACAAAGAAAAGATACTTTCTGTCGAGGGTATCCAACAAGGTGACCCTCTTGGATCCCTTCTCTTTAGTCTTGGAATCAATGACATGATAAAATCAATAAACTCTTCATGTACTCTATCGCTCCACGCTTGGTATATTGATGATGGAATCTTGAGTGGTCCCAGTAGTGAAATTGCCAAAGCAGTCACCATAATTAAAGAAATGGGCACAGCCATTGGACTTTCGCTTAACCAGAGCAAATCTGAATTCTCACTTTTAAATTATAATGCTCCCAACACTCACGATTTCAAATTCACATCAAGCGTTGAATTAACACATCTAGGATCGCCTGTTGGAGGACACGAGGCAATAAGCACCTTTCTTCATTCCTCACTTGACATACTCCTTAAACTGGAGGACATCTTTACACTTCTTCCATCACACAAGTCCTTTTTTTTGCTAAAAAATTTCTTTTTTATACCAAGGATTCTTTACGCACTTCGGTCAACACCAATTTTTAAATATCCTATTCCTCTCCAAACTTACGAAAAAGGAATAAAGGACTTAACCGAAAAAATAGTAAATATCAGATTCAACGAAACCGCTTGGGCCCAAGCAACTCTTCCAACCAAATTTGGTGGTCTCGGCATCAGATCTCCACTTGACTTAGCAACAACTACTTTCATATCGAGTAGTCTCTTGACAAAGCCAATAACCACCGCCCATAATTCTAAAGAAGACCTTTCCTTAATCGTGGCTATGGATATTTGGAAAACAAGGATCAATGCTGATTCTCATCCCCCCACAACCCATAAACAGAAAGACTGGGATGCACCAGTGGTTGCTCGCTGCGTTGAAACTCTCTTATCTAGCATGCAATCTACCGACCGCACCCTATTCTCTTCCTTGCTCAATGGTACGGGACATGAGTTTCTTGAGGCCATCCCATCCAGCGTCTACATGGCCGGGGGGGGGGGGTAGGAGACAAATGCCTCCAAAATATATTAGCATTTTTGGGGGTAGGTATCGATTTTAAGGGGTTGATATTAATTTTTTGGGGGTAGGCATTATTTTTTTGGGGGTAGGCATTGATTTTTGGTGGGTAATTTTTGATTTGAATTATAATCTTTTTTTAATCCATTAATTGATACGATTATGATGGTTATCGTTTGATTTTCTGAAAAATGTCAATTAAAGTAAAGATATTTGTCAATTAATAAATAATATAAATTTTCTTTGTCAACGATTTTCATTTAGCATTTTATCAAGTTAATATTTACACATTTCCTATTTGGTACTTTTCTTAGAGGTTAATATATTTATATTATGTTTTTTAATAAATTTATAGATTTTAGCAGGATAAATTTTAGGTAATTTTTTGAGTCATGCATAAAAACATATATCAGCAAGCAAAGAATAATAAAAAACATAATATGTAAAAAATTATATTATAATAATTATTTCTTTCTAGATGCCAAGTAACAAAACCATATTTAAAGTTAAGTGCAATATTAAAAATTGCAAAACTTCTAAAATAAGAAGTGACAAGATACATGAACATTATAAACATAAACATCCTCATGTCAAGCCAGCTGATATGAAATTTACAAAGGTAGCCATCAAAAGAGATAATAATAATTGGGTATCTTTAAATTGTGATATTCCATATAATATCACAAATGGAGTTGAAACCCAGTTGCAAAAAAAGACAATAACATCTTACTTCCAAAAAGTAATATTTTTATTTATTATTGTAACTATAAATTTGTGAATTAATAGAAACTGATTTAAAATTTTACCAGAATAATATTAATATTAAAGTAGTCAGGGTATAGAGAAAATAAATTATATATATTATTATTTAATGTTTTTTAACTGTTTATCACACTATTTTTATATCTATATATACTTTATAAAGTTCAATTTAACAATATGTTTAATAAGTTAATAATAATAATTTAAAACCAAAGTATTAAAAAAACTTATTAAGTTAATATAATGTAGTAAAATAAGGTAATGTTAATTTCTAGGAATTTTTAAATTTAAATCTTTTCATCTTTAATTGAATTAAGACTTCAAATTCTTTTACTTTTTTTAAATATAAATCTTATAAAATATGATTTGGAATCAACTATTTTCAAAATGTTATCTGTGTGAGTTTCATCCCCTTTATTTACATTATGTGTTATATTAGGTATGTTTATTATCATTGTTTTATTTAGCTATTAGAATTTCTTTAGATAATATACTTTCATCATGAATTTCACAATTTTATTTATACTTAATATTGTTTTTATTTTTATAGTCATTATAATATTGTTTTATGATTTCTTCATGTGATCGCAGTTTTATATTAATCTGCATCTATCATGCCTATGAATCTTTCAAGTATATTTTAAAAATGTTTTTACATGATCTAACAAAGTCATATTGATGTTTATGATTATTGCGTTCAAAATATGTGAATTCCCTTTGTATTCTACATTCACTTGTGCTTTACCTATTACTTGTATCATCTTTCCATTGTAACCTGATAACTTTATGTTGGACTTCATAATATTTTTAATACCTGTTTTCTCAATCATGTATTCATGTAGAATTAAAACATTTATTAAAAACTTAATTATAATGTAGTTAAAAAAAATTATCATTTGCCTAAAAATTTATTAAAAATATAGTTATCATAAGGAAAGAAATTAAACTCCTCTTTATTTATAGAAAATCTCAGTTATTGAAGATTCACAAATTGTATTATCTCCTCATCCAATCCCCAGTTCCAGTGAGGTGTTTACTTTGTATGATGAGGTATTTAATTTAAATACGAATTATATGATAACTTTTGAAAGAAATAAATTATGATTATGAGGTTAATTAAATATTTCCAACCTTTATTAAAAACTTAATTATAATGTAGTTAAGAATAAAATGACCATTTGACTAAAATTTTATTAAAAATATAGTTTTTCATAAGTAAACAAATTATACTCTTTATAGCAAATCTCCAATATTGAAGATTCACAAATTGTATTATCTTCTCATCCAATCCCCAGTTCCAGTGAGGCGCTTACTTTGCATGATGAGGTATTTAATTTAAATACGAATTATATGATAACTTTTGAAGAAAATAAATTAGGACATTTAAATATTTCCAACATTTATTGATTAACTTAATTATAATGTAGCTAAGAATAAAATGACCATTTGGCTGAAATTATATTAAAAATAGATTTTCATAAGTAAACAAATTATACTCTTTATTTATAGCAAATCTCCAATATTGAAGATTCACAAATTGTATTATCTCCTCATCCAATCCCCGGTTCTAGTGAGGCACTTACTTTGCATGAGGCATTATATTTAAATAAAATTTATATAATGACTTTTGAAGGGAATAAATTATGAGGATATTCAAAGTCCAAGTCTTATTCAGCTATACAAAAAAAAGGAACCAAATGACCCTTTTCACTTTATATTATTTAGGATGACAAATATTTTGATAAATTTCATAATTGCTGTAGGCCCTTGTCAGCCATGTACAAATAAATTTCAATATCCTGTTACTAACAAGAGGTTTTAAATAATATTTATTTTCATTAATTTTTACCCATCCATTATTTCTATACCAATATATTTTTTTTTACTTTTTAAACAGGAACATGAATATAACCTATTATAGAAAGGTTAATATAGATGGTTCCCTCAACCCCAGAAATTGGCTATCTTATAGCACTACTTTAGACAAAGTCTTTTGTCTATATTGTATTATGTTTGGTGGCCCTAAGTCCAATACTTTTTGGACTCAACATGGGGTAAATAATTGAAAAAACATAAAGCGTGACTTAGAGAGACACGAAGCATCTTCTCTTCATAAAGATTGTGAATATGCAAACATGACTTGGCTTGCAAATAAACGCATTCAAGATCATTTGCTATCAAATAAGCTTGATATAATCATGGAAAATCGTAATATAGTTCATAATATTATCAATGCCATTATGTACCTTATAAAATGTAATATAGCCTTTTGGGGTTCTAATTCGAATGAAGGTAATTTTATGTGTCTCATAAAATTAATGGCAAAAACGGTTCCAACTTTACGTGCATACATGGATAACAACGAAAAATTGCGGAGAAAAAAATCAGATAAAATTTCGAGACCTTATATAAATTTAATGTCATATGGCCACGTGAAAAAAATAACTGAAATTATTAAGATAAAAATAACAAAAAGCATTATTCAAACAATTAAAGAGAATCGTGCCTATAGCATCATATTAGATGGAACATATGATGTGTCTAAAAAAGAATGCATAGCTTTGCTTGTACGGTATATAGAAGATGATCTGCATCCACATCCTGTAGAAAGGATCATACATGTTTTTACAACATCAGAAACCACTGGGGAAAATATAAAGAAACATGTTTTTTCTAAGTTTAATGATCTTGGTCTTCCTCTTGATTATTTGGTTGAACAAAGTATGGATGGTGCAGGGAATATGAGAGGAGTATACAAAGGAATGCAGGCTTTAATATTGAAAGAGGCTCCAAAAGCCATCTATATTTGGTGCCATGCACATCGGCTAAATTTAGTAGTTGCTTATGTTTGTGGATGCAAAATTGAAATGAAAAAGGCAATGGGAATATTAGATGAGTTATATAATTTTATGAATGGAGTTAGACGTCAAGGTGTGTTTGTTAAATATCAAATGAGAAAGTCCAAGAAATCTCTTAAAAGAATTAAAAACACAACAAGGTAAATAAAATATTTTTAATGAAACTTGAAACTTATATATTTTCAGAAATTGGTCATCATCCTACAAATCTGTAGAAATCTTTTTAGATGTTTATGAACATATTTTAGCATCATTAGTTGAATTAAAAGATTCTAATGACCCAAGCACCTCTTCCATTGCCGATGGGTTATTATCAAGAATTAAAGATGAAAATTTTATATTAAGTCTTTTTATTTTGAAAGAAATATTGAAATGTACACATGAGGCTTGTATTGAAATGCAGGCAGTTGGTAATGATTTGGCTTTGGTAACCAAATTAATACAACATACAAAAAATAAATTACAAAAACTAAAAGGTTAATATTAGTTACTATTTCTATAAATAATTTTAAAATATAGCTAATGGAGACAATATATTTTTAAAATTACATTCCTTATCTAATAGTTTTTTGAAAAAGAATAATGTAATAACTGATTTGTATAATATGAAATCAATATTCAAATTGGATCAAACAGAATTCAATAATTATGTTGAACAAAAAAAAACAAGTTGAATAAATTAAAAAAATTTAAATTATTATTTATTATTATAGATATAGAACGGAAATATTTTTCCCTGTTCTAAATGCAATAATTAATCACCTAAATGATCGATTTAATTATGATTGTTTAAATTTTTTATCACAGATATCCATTTTTACTCCCGCTGGAATTATGGATAATGAAAAAATAGAAGGATGGCAAATATCCGAAATTTGTAATACTTATCAATTGGATGTCCAAAACATTGTTGATGAATATAATGATTTTCGCTCTTTATATTTGGAGTCTCAATCAATCATTTTTTGCGAAGATCTTTTAAAAGTTAAAAAGAATGACGCGTTATATATTGATGAAAGTAATTTATTGATATTTTATTTGTAATTGTATATAATTAAAGGTATTGCAAACGATCAAATTACCAAAGAAAATATCAACAGCGAAATCATGACCAAAATAAAAAAATGGATAAAATTTTCTTTTATATTACCATACCGACTTTTAAATCAATTAAATTCTTATTCAAATTTAAATTTATTATATAAATATTTATTAACCCTTCCTACAACTTCCTGTTCAGCCGAAAGAGCCATGAGTAAAGTAAAAATTAACAAAACTCGAATGCGGAATAAAATTTCGGACCCATTTTTGGAAAATTTACTGTTAATATCCAGCGAAATTGATGTTTTTGAAAAATTAACAATTGATGATATTATAACACAATTTGCTTTAACATCAATAAGGTTATCCAAATTATTAATAAAATAATTAATGTATCTTTTTCACAGCGAATATATAGGCTTTTAAATAATGTATATTTAATTTAACATTTTATAATTTCAATGCAAAATATACTATAATTCATTTTATTCTAATATTTTATATAATAGCTCTATTTACAATAGATGTTTTTAATTATGTGGAATCAAGCTAAATATACCTCTTTAAATTTATTCGTCTTATATTATTTACAATATTTTAGATCTTTTTCATAGAAATATTAATATGTTATCTCATTTAATTCACTTATATATATTTTATGAAAATAAAGTGAATACCAAATTATGAAAAGATTGCATTATTTAAATAAAAGTTCATTATCACTTACAAATTTTTAAATTTTTTTCCCTAAATAGGCTTGAAAGATTGTAAATAGAATTATGTTGTAAGGTTATAAATGGTGGCAGATAAGATTTTTTAAATAAAATCACTATACCATCGTAGGTCTGTAAATTTCGCGGCCGAAGGCCGCAGGATTTTTTTAGGTGGGTATGGGTAGATTTTGGAGGGGTTTGCCTCCATCAAATTTTCTGCCATGTAGACGCTGATCCCATCTACCAATCTTCAGCTTGAACTATCCAACAATGAATTTACCCATGCCATCGGCATTCGTCTAAATTGTTCCATCACTCACCCCCACATCTGCTCAGGGTGCAACTCGCCAGTTGACTCGAAAGGTAGACATAGTTTACATTGTCGCTCCTGCAATGGACGATTCATCAGACACAAGCAATGTAATACAATCATCCAACATTCTCTGAAATCCGCCCAAATTCCTTCCACATTAGAACCACAGGGTCTTTTTAGATCTGACGGTAAACGTCCTGATGGGATCTCTCAAATCCCATGGAGGAGAGGCCAACTTTTGGTATGGGACTATTCTTGTATTGACCCCTTGGCCCCATCCAACCACGCCATCAACATCCTTGACCAGAAGGAACAACTTAAAATTTCTAAATACACAGAAATAATAAACGATCATTGCTTCATCCCAATCATATCAACCACTCTTGGCACCTTCGGCAAACTCGCCTTAGCATTTTTCAAAAAATTAGGATCACAAATCAGCAAACTCTCAGAAGAACCTCGAGAGGGTTTTTTTCTTCGTCAACGATTATCCATAGCGATTCACAAAGCTAATTATATCAGTTTCAATGGTAGCCTTCTAGCCAAAGAGCTATCATAGACAACGCTTACGTCCCTTTTTCATTTTGTTTCCCTGCGTCACACCATCTCCGTTCTTTTTTTTAATAGTATTATAATTATATTATATTTTAAAAAATTATTTAAAAGAACTAGTTAAATTAAAAATTCATTTTAAAAATAATATTTTTGGGTTAAAAAAAACAACCAATGGTTTTAGATAAATTAAATGAATGCGCGTTACATAAAATTAAAACATATTACTATTTAATAACCAAAAATATAATATTTTAATTTATTAATTCCTATAATATAACAAATAGTTTTATTTATTGTATCACTAAATTGAATTTGAAAAAATATATAGAGATCTAATTTTTTAGAGACATAGTTGCATTCAAAATGAATTAAATAAAAAATAAATTTTGTTTGATTATATTTTGTTATCTTATCCTAAACTCCCTGCCTACCTACACCTTTCAGCAATAACTTTTTGCGATTTCTTCTTTATTTTTCTTACTATCTTTTCTCAATTTATTTTCTTCTCATTTTTAATAATTCTATTGTCTTTTTAAAAATAATTTATAATTTTTCTATTATTTTCTTCATTTCTCTTATCCATTTTTTTAACAATTCTTTCCTTTTTCATCACACATAACAATATTTTGACTTTTTATGATTTTTTCTCCTTATATTATAATCATACATTTCTAACCTTTTCAATCTCTTTATGTCATTCTTAATCTTTATTTTTCATTTTTGTTAATTCTTTTTCTTATTTATTTTTAATTTTCACTTGATTTTTATTTCTGGCATAATAATATTTTATTAGAATTTTTTACATATCAGATTATTTAATTACTATTGAATTTAACCTCTATATCAAGATATTGAGTATTGAGCAAAAACAAATGGCTAAAGACCATCTTATGGTTTTTAGACGCAAATGCAGATAAACCAAGAAGATTAATTTCACTTTCTTTAATTATTTTAAACCCCTCTTGGGCCTTTGTATTTAAATGGCTTATTTGGGATTTAGTTTTAATTAGAGTAGAACTATGTTTATAGAATTCAACTCCGTATAATCTATCGCTGAATATTTTTAAATGATCCGCAGATGTTGCCCTCATCCAGAGACCATATATTTATGCCTAAGTTAAAAAAAATTTTAAAGAATTAACTAGGTTATGTATGCCTAAGCTAAATATGAGAGGATTCAAAAGATCTCCTTGTTGTATATTATCATCCGAAGGAATTGTATAATCCCCAAGTTTGAGAGATATTTATTAAAATTAAATTTTAATTAAATGTAAAGCAGGAATTTATTTTTTACAATAAAAATTGATATTTATGAGAACAACCATTAGCTACTAGTTTATCTAAAGTAAGTCACGAAACACAATATGAAGATGCTGTTTTTTTGTAAATCATATAAAAGTCTTAAGTGACAAATGTTTTTCATGGTGATGTAAATATGAATAAATTTGCTATATATAACAAATCTGACACTATAGTTATATTGTATTTATTATAATTATGATAGATGCCAGATATTTAAAAAAAAATACAAAATGGTATATGAAATAAATGTTTACAAATCAAGATAAATTATTTAGCATTACAAATCAATGAATATTAAACCAATCCATCATAAAAATAATTAAATATGGTATTGATAACATAATTGAAAATATTTTTTTGATTTCTACTAGTATATGTAAATTAAAATTTTAAAATTATTTAACAAATATATTATAGATATTAATTAAAAGAAATTTTACATCAATATTCATGTGATAACCAAAAATACATATTAGATTTTTCTGAAGAATTTTTAAATTGGAAGAAATCACCAACCTTGGTCAACCTACTATTTAAATAAAGAATTTTTAATAACCTTTATAATGAAAGCTTACTCAAACTTAAATACCCTTAAAATTTTGAAGTTCTTCTCTTAATTAAAATTAAACTAGCAGATAAAAATTTGTCTCTATATGATATGTGCCTAATGTTTGGAACTATGTACTTTTGATTAATGAAAAATTAACGAACCAAGGAAAATTATGTAGAATGCTTAAATTGGCTTGATTTAATAAAATTGGCCTCATTTGATTAACAAACTTTCATATTATTGAAAAAAAGGCATTCTCAAGCTTTTCAGAGATTTTCACACTCCTATTAAACCTAAATAAAAGGGAGGAAGGAAGAAAATCTCGTATACACAAAAGAAATAAATATTTTTATAAGATGATTGATTAAAGTTTAAAACTAACAATACCATATCTCTAAAAACATTTATATTTATGAATTATAATTTTTTTTATATAAAATTAAAAATATTAGGGAATTTACCTCTATTATTATATAATTAAAAAATATTTTGAAGCATAGTATTTATATATAATGAATCATTATATAAGAAATTTATTTATATTTTCTATAATTGTTAAATTAATATTTATTTTTCCAAATGATAAATGAATAATAGTGTCGACCACCTAAAATAGTCAATGATATATTATATTTAATTGTCTTACAAAATAAAACTAAAAAAAGGAAAGTTTAAACTTTTATATAATAGATAAATTTTAAAATATTATTTTAAAAAATATAGGTCTATTTATGCTTACAGGAGAAATCTTTATAGGAATATAAGCAATTTTTTTTTATAAAAGTAAGATTTTAATATGAAGGTAAATTTATATATATTATCAATATCTTCCATAATCGTTTAATAAAATAACTTACATTCGAGAGCTAAATATGAAAAATAAATTTAATATTCATTCGAAATATTTTAAATGCAAATAATTAGAAGAAGTTAGATGGAAATAATAAAGAAGTAAAAAAGAATAAACAAAATAGAGACATCTCTATGTATATCAGATATAAAAATGAGATGACCAACATGACTTCCTAAAATAAGATACAATCATATCTAAAACATCATCTTAATAATAGTGTTTATAGGGAGTCAAGATATATATTTATGTAGTAATAAAAAAAAATTTCGAATTTTCAAAAATCTTGTGTATGAATCACGATTATTTT